GAGAGAGAGAGAGAGAGAGAGAGAGAGAGGAAGCACAAACAGAGCATAGGATGGAACCCAGAAGGCTTCCCAGAGTCAAGATTGCTCACAGTGTTAAATTATAAGTAGCATATGCCCTGTGAACTAACAGTGGGTGGTGCTGCTGTCAGAGGTGACAGTGCATGTGGCAGCCACAAAGATGTGCTTCATGGACCTCCACCCACAGGTGCCTGACCTGGCCCAGAGCCCCAGCTGCTGGGTCTACCCCACCCTTCATGCTCCTCTTCCATCATGCTTATCCCTGTGTTTAGAAATCTGTTTGACTCTTTCTGTCCCCAGATTTCAAGCTCCTGGAAGACAGTCTCTGTCTTGTTTATTGTGGCAATAAATATTTCTTGATAAATCAGGAAAAGTCTTCTCTCATGCTCGCATCCCTAAGCACTGGTCACCGCCCCACCCCCCTCATCTCCTCCATACCGTAGTCATTCCAAAGGCTTCACCTTCAGGTGTGGTCTCCCCAGTGGCTGGTCAAGGAAGAGCCTCCACTTCCTCTTTTTGTGACTTTTTTACTGGCCACCTGTGCTTAAAGATGATCAAATGAAATGAGTGAACCAAAAGGGGATGAAATTCATATGCAGTTGCTATTACCAGCTAACCGGGTTTTATTCCTTTCTTGGTTACCAGGAGGATGAAGTGACGTCTCCCACTGCTGAGGGAGGTCACTGCTTACTGCTTCCCCAGCATGTCAGCTGAAAAGGATCAGTCAGCAGGGGCATCACCTCCTTACTCTGCCACAGCTTCCCAGAGTTCCACGCAGACCTGGCCTTCAGAGGAAGAGGACTCCAAGGGACAGCTAGAGGCAGAGACTTTGCAGGATGAAACTCTATTTCCTGAAGAGGAAGAGTCTCTGGAGGAGGAAGAGTATGTGGGGGAGGAAGAGTATCTGGAGGAAGAAGAGTATCAGGAGATGGAAGAGTCTCTGGAGGAGGAAGAGTATATGGGGGAGGAAGAGTATCTGGAAGAAGAAGAGAATCTGTTTGAAAAGTATCTGCAAGAGGGTGAGTATCTGGAGGATGGAGAGTACCTAGAGGAGAAAAAGTGTCTGAAAGAGAGTGTCTGGATGAAGAAGAGTATCTGGAAGGAGTTGAGTATCTGGAGAGGATTGTAGCTCTAGTTCACCACAATGCCCAGGAAAAAAAGAACAAACCTGGGATGGAGCCAAAGCTCAAATTATCAGCCCTAGTCATGTGGGACAGGTAGGAAGACACATCACTGACCAAGCTCTGCTCACAGCTACAACAGCCATGCCCCAAAACAGTGCCAGCAAAGCCAACGGGGAATGTCATGAACATAAGGCACCTGTTTATCCAAATAATAATTTCTATCTTTTCTTTGTCTTACTGCACAAGTACTGTGTGGATGTTTTAGTAGCTATATATAAACAAAATGAAGACAGTACAAATCACCACCACCCAGAGATGATCATCGCTTTCCACTTTTGGTTATATCCTCCCAGACTTATTTTGTATACTTACATATATATAATACACACACACACACACACACACACACACACATGCACACATATATGCCTTTTGTAAAATAATGATACTTTATATGGTGTTTATAACCTGCTTTTCAAGATACATTTATTTATGTTTACACAAATATTATACTTATGTGAATATCATTTTATATTTCATATATTTAATTTACTATGTTATTAAGTTTTCTACAAATAATTTTAATGACCACATTGCATTGTATTATATTGATAAAAAAACAATAATTTTAATCAATTTCTTATTATTGACTTTTTTTGCTTCTGATTTTTTTTTTTTTTTTTGGTTTCTTTTTAAAATAGTACTTGGGTGAATATCCATATAGCTAACTGTTATCCATGATCCCTAATTGTTTCCTGGAATACATTTCTACATTATGTTGCCAGGTCAGCAGACACTAGCATAAATTTCAGGGTACCCCTTTAGCCCCCTTGAAGGAATCATCTCCAAGTACAGGTGAGTCTTTGACTTTGGAGTGATTCTAGGGCTGACATTTTTCCAACACCATTTTGGCAACTGGCAACCCTCCTCAAGTTGGGTTTAATTATTTGACAACAGCCTCCTAATGCTATTTGCTAACGGTGTCCAAAGAGCATTCATTCCTAGATATATGTGACGTCTTCTCTTGATGTTGTCACTGCATGGCCATATTTAGCTGGGTACGGAAATGTTAAAAGCCAGGTCATCTGTGTCATCTTCACGTTGGCAGAGAAGTAGAACTAAACTATTTTTCTGGATCCAATTCTGCTACCAACTGCAAGCGTTCCAGGCAACTTGAATTTTTAAATCCCTTAAAATGTGATCACACACAAGCTGTGTCTGTCCTCAGTGCTAGTGTTCTCAGCAGCCACATGAGCATTTTACCTTCATGTCCCTCTCCCCCAAATCAGATGCCTCATCCTCCATTCCTCCCACCCTCGTGGAATTCTTGTTGTCGCATTGGAGAGATAATTCCTCTACTGATGGGAGACTCTTTTTTGTGTATCTCTACATTAAGTTCCCTCTTGGAATCCTAATACGCCTGCTGTGCAAGTACCGAGTGTAATTCTAAGACTGAAAAATAGCAGTCGGGGCTTTTTCTCTTGCACAGTATGAATCAAGCATTCTTAACATGTCCCCTCTGTGTGCTGGATCTTTGTAAATATATTACCCACTAGAGTAGGACAAATACAATGCTGTCAAGTGAATGGAACTGTGTATAAAGCAAAAGCTTTGAAAATAAATGCCCTGCTAGCAGAAATTGGAGAGGCACTGGAAACACGGTAGGGAGAAGCTGAAATGCCTTTCAAGGCACAGGGAAGGATGTCTTGGTCTATGAAGACCTAGGGGACCAAACCAGGTTGTACAAAACAGGTTAAGAAGGGGTTACAAAAGATTTCTTAACTTTTCCAAAGAATGTATATCAATATTTCTTTATGTAGAATATTCTCCTAGTATCTTTGCAATATAACTATGTTTCCCCTTGTGTTAAATCTCGGTGCCTAATAAGAGTACCTTCCTGACCCCTAGCAGGTATTCAGGACATGCAAATTGAGCCAAGTGATCACATTCATTCCCTACACACACACACACACACACACACACATACACACACACACACACACTCATACACATTTATTATTATTTTGAGTCAACCTCTCACTCTGTTGCTCAAGTTTGAGTGGAGTGGCATACTCGTGGCTTACTGTAGCCTCAACCTCCTGGGCTTGGGCAATCCTCCCACCTCAGCCTCCTGAGTAGCTGGGACTATAAGCATGTGCCACCACTCCTGACTGATTTTTTAAATTTTTTTGCAGAGACAAAGTCTCACTATGTTGCCCAAGCTGGTTGGTCTTGAACTCCCCAAGCAATCCTCCCACCTTGACCTCCCAAAGTGCTGGGATTATAGAAGTAAGCCACGGTGCCCAGCCATAATTATTTTTAAAAACGTTATGGTTAATTGGCATATATAAAATGAGCCCTAGAAGCTGGGCTCGGTGGCTCAGCCTGTAATCCCGCGCTTTGGGAGGCTGAAGTGAGTGGATTGCCTGAGCCCGCGGGTTTGAGACCCGCCTGGGCAACTTGGCGAGACCTCATCTCTACAATAAATAAAATTTAAAAAAATCATCTGGGCATGATAGCATGTGCCTGTAATTCTGGCTACTCGAAAGGCTGAGGCGGAAGGATCGCCAGAGCCCAGCAGGTCGAGGCTGCAGTGGCTGGGAGTGGCCACTGCACTCCAGTCTGGGCGACAGAGTGAGACTCCAACTCAAAAAAAATAAAAATAAAAATAAAAATAAATAAATAAGATGAGTTCTAGAGATGATGCTTGTGCTTCCATCTCTCCTGCTGATGCATTAATTGCTAAAGGTTAGAGGTGGAGCATTATGTTGAAAGGGATTCTGAGGCCATGTCTGGGCTCAGCAGGAGAGAAGTGCTGCTGATCAGCTAGCAATGTCTGCCACAGGACCAGGCAGTGAAGGTAGAGCATGAGTGCCATTTATTTGTCTTCTAGGTGGCAGATAGGAATCTATCACAAAGAGCACATTTTCCGTTCCCTCTCAGGTTTGAACACTAGCCCTATCCCCACTCATTAGTTGCATGAGCTTGGACAAGTCACTCAATTTCTTCATGTCTTGGTTTTCCTCACTGCAATTAAGAACAGCAATAGATTTGCCTCAAAGGATGTTTGGGAAATTTAAATGAGTTAAGTTATAAACTATGCCAGGCATATAGCCTTTTAAGCCTATTTAATGTTAACTAATATTAGTATTGTTATATTTCATTATGCATTATTATCATAATAATTGACTTGTGACTGGCCACATTACCCTGCCATTGACTTGTGACTGGCCACATTACCCTGCCATTGACTTGTGACTGGCCACATTACCCTGGCCACATCTCCCCTACCTCCACTGTGAAAGGAACATAACCAAAGACAAGACACAATGAACTATGCTGTGGGCAGAATCTACATCCTCCACCCTTCTCATCTACTTGGCAGGCAGGTCAGCTTCAGAGATTCCCTTAGCCCTGGATGAATCAGGTTAGGTCACACTAACTCTACCCGCCTCTCTTCTTTAAAAGGGGATATCCCCCCATGGCTTGTGGAGAAAAGCAATAAAATTAGAAAAGCACCCTGAATATTAATGCAGCATCCATTACCACTGAATAATCGATAGTCGTGTCTGACTGGCCTACCGGGGGTTTTTCAGATACTGAATGCCAAATACGGGTGGGATGGCCATGGTATCCCAGTCAGATACCACACAGATAGGCACACGGTGGGCCTAGACCCTCTGCACATCACTTACCTTCTCTAGGTTTCTGTTCCCTATGGGCAAAAACATTTTCTCACAGTGTGATTGCCATGATTAAATGAAGTAACATATCTGAAAGTGCTTTGAAAATTTCCCTACACCATACAACTGTACAGTATAAGAATATTCTTCTGATATCACATGAAAGAAGGTACTAGAAGGGCACATGGGCTACATAGCTTTCCTGCTGCCATAGAACATGCTGTGAGGGTGAAATCATCTCCTGATGAAGCCTCTTTTGTGTTTTTTTTCAGACCCCAAAACCTTCCTAATGATAAATTCTGCTCTGTGGCAAACTGCTATAGAGACGTCACAGTACATTGATTTTGATTCATCATGTTTTTGCCTAATAGTATTTTGAGACATATAACACGTTGAATTTGATTTTCTTTACCCTGCTAGCTCCTCCTGGGCAGCTCCGACTGCTGTCTGGCCTGATGCTATAATTTACTTGTCATTTCCAATTGAGCATTAGTGTCCCAACTGCCATTTCCAACAGGAATCCCAGCAATGCTGGGGATTTCAGAAGAAAGAGATGCTGATGAGCCAGGGATGGGAGGAAACCACCTTCTCATGCAGGAAGGTCCACGGTTTATAACACTGAATCGGCAACTGGTTGGGGTGGGGGCTTTATCCTGTGTCCCAGGACCAGTTGCCTCCAGTCTCCGCTGTGCTTGTAACATGCAGCGTCACTTTCTGTTCATGTCCGTCCCCAAGAAGGTCAGGGCGCATAGTCCAATGGCATGTGTGTATAGTGTATTTCACAATCTCTATCTCCTTAAATTCTCCCACTCGTTAGCTCTCTCCTCCAATTCCCTTCGCAATAAGGAACCTGGAGTTAGAGAGAGGGTGTTTGACTGCTCTGAGATCATAGAAAATTACTAGAAGATTCAAGACAGGCTCCCAAACTTTCTCTTCTCTTCCAGTCACTTGTCTTTCTTTTCTCCCTTCCTTCCTCATTTCTTCATCTTTTGTTTCTGATTTTTAATATGTGTGTGCATATTTTAATTTTAGGAGTGACATCAAAGAAACAAAATGTATTCTTTTTCTTTGCTTTGAAAAAATTTGACAATTTGAAAAGTAAAAAATAGAAAGACATCCCCCAACCTATTAACATCCGCATGTGAATAAAGCTAATTCACATTGTAGTGATTTTCATTCTGTCCCTTTGTTCATATTTTTTGTATATCTGATAGTGGTAGTCCTTGTTGCATGGCTTTGTTTAGTTTTCACTGTTTTAGCATGCAATGTATACAAGTTTGTATTTCACTTTTGTAACTTAGTATTGTAATGCTTAATTTTTATAGACATTATTTTAACAAACAAGTAATGTTTCTCAATAATACTCTGTTGCATGGGTAAGCTATGGATAAGTGTAAGTATTCAGAATTTCTCCTTCAAATTCAAATTTTCTGCCAAACACAATGGTTCACTCCTGTAATCCCAGCACTTTGGGAGGCTGAGGCAGGAGAATCACTTGAGCCCAAGAGTTCAGCTTGGGCAACAAAGCGAGGCCTACTCTCTACAGAGTAGAAAAAGTAGCCAGGTGTGGTGGCACATACCTGTAGTCCCAGCTACTCGGGAGGCTGAGTCAGGAGGATAACTTGAGCCCAGGAGTTCAAGGCTTCTGAGAGCCACTATCATGCCACTGTACTGCAGCCTAGGCAACAGAGTCTCAAAAAAAAAAAAAAAAATCAAATTTTCTGATTCTCATTTTCTCTTTCTCCCAGTGTCAACCATCCTCTATTGCTAGAATTGGTGGCATATTTTATCCCAACTCTATATGAAATTCTTGATGTCATATCATTTAATCAGTGAGGGGATTAAATGACACAAGCAGATTCTTTAAAATTAATAATTTGTGGCCTGGCTCGGTGGCTCAGCCTGTAATCCCAGCACTTTGGGAGGCCAAGGCAAGTGAATTACATGAGCCCGAGGGTTCGAGACCATCCCAGGCAACTTGGTGAGACCTCATCTCTACAATAAATCAAAAATTAGCTGGGTGTGGTAGCATGCTCCAGTAGTTCTGGCTATTGGAAGGCTGAGACGGAAGGATCGCCGGAGCCCAGCGGGTCGATGCTGGGGTAGCCGTGAGTGTTCCATGGCACTCCAGCCTGGGTGACAGAGTGAGACTCTGACTCGAAAAAATAAAAAATTAAAAAATTAAATTAATAGTTTTTAAAATGTGTACATCATTTGCATTCCAATCACCTCCCCTGTACAGATATCCTTCATCCAAGACAGAGGGAGACTTCTGTGATAACCAAAGAGACTAGCAAAGCAAACTTGATTTCCAAAATCCATTATTTCTTGAAAATTATTTCCTTGGCTTCTCTCCAATTGTCTAAAATTTCAACCTGATAATTTATAAAGGAAACCATGAGAAGTAGAGACAAAAATGAGGTCAAAATAGAACATTTCTGTAATTGAGACCCTCCTCACTCCAATCTCAGCATCACATAGTAAACAACAACATATTTTAAAATAGCAAGATGCCTGTTAGTCCATTTTTGTTGTTCTTTTTTCCAATAGAACTCAAGTCAGCTTATTCACCACCGAAAACCAGGCCTCATCTTAATGGAAGGTAATCCTTTTCTTTTGGGACCAATCAGGTGGAGTTGGGGGGGTGGCAGGTCCCCTGGGGAAGGGGGAGTTTAGTGGGGACTCCCAGAAGCTACAACCTTGCTCCCTTCTGTGAGTGAGTCACTCAGAGGGGCGGGATGGACCCAAGGTTAGAGTCCTGGGTGCCCAGAACCATCAGAGATGAAGGGCAGATGCCGTCTGAGTCAAGGGAGAAGGTCCAGCAGGAAGTATTCTTGGGGAGCAGATGAATGAATGCCCAGAAGGAAGCTGCAGTCTATCCAGGATGAAAGAAAGCTCAGGCATACTTCCAAAGTCTGTGTGATCATTCAGTGAATGTTCATTAAAATCCCACAACAGGACTTGGCCCATACTAGATGGTCAATAAAACATCTATGGAATGAGTGAGTAAATGCCTTCTACATGCCCAGCTCTGGAGAAATCAGAGTAGGGGGCACACAAGACTTCCAATCCACAGTCTTTATCCTGATTTCTTGTGCCCTAAACTCCTATCCCAAAGGGTGAATGCAGGGGACAGGAGCCATTTATCTTCACTGGTGAAGTGGGTTGCCATGATATCTAAAAAAAAAACCTGCAAGGCCAGTGTGGTTATGGTGAGAAGCAGGAATGAAATCCCAGCTTTGTCAAGTCGGGAGCTCGTAAGTTACAACTTGAGGGCACAGGGCTCCCACCGCAGGGCTGCGGCCCCCACTTCTGCTCTGCACTGGCCATTCTGTCCACACTTCTCACCTCCAGTGCCTCTGACAGGTAAGTCCTCAGTGAAAGAGGGTACCTATTTATAAAGAAAGTGACTTTTCAGAGGCTTCTTCACCTTAGGCACTGACACCCAAAGTAAGTTAAGTAGTGTGGCCAGACACAGCGATGGGGTCTGACAGTGAAGTGACCACCTTAAAGTTGGTTGACAACAGGGACTCTGGAACCAGACTGCCCAGGTTTGAATCTCAGCTCCTCCACCCAGCTAGCTGTATGCTACTTAATCTCCTTGTACCTCAAGGTCTTCATCTGTAAAATGGGGAGACAAAGCACTCCAGTCCCACTGGGCCGAGGTGGGGATTAAATGAGTGTCAGCTCACAGAAAGCACTCAGGACAGTGGTCAGCACACAAGACATGCTCAGTCAGCTCCGTGGATCATTGTTATTTTCCATTCTGAACCCCCCACACACACCCCACGAACCACCAGGTCAAGAACTGAGCACTTCCAGAGCAAGAATCACGATTCCTAGTCAGTTTTATTCCAATCACATCCACCCTTCCAACCCTTCATTCACACTTCAGCTAGGGGGGTTTACTGTTCCCAGGGCCCATGGAAAGAGTGAGTATCAGAGGCTCTGGGGCCTTCCTGGTGTCCACATGCTCTTCGGCTTGGGTCCCCAAGGGCCAGATCTGGACTCAGAGTGCTCAGAGATGCCCTGGATTTTCCTCGTACAAAAAAACCAAGAGTCTGACTCCTCCACAAAGTCCTTTAGGCAAGAAGTACTACATTCACACAAGCGTTTCCCAGCAGGGTGGGGAAAGGGGAGAAGGGACAGTTCATGGGTCCCTTATTACAGGAAGGTCGCCAGCCAGGAGCCGGAAGCAACTCCCTCTCTCCCTTTCCCATATGCTTAAGGGTCCCCAGGCACCTGCCAGGCCCCTCCCTACTAAAGCACTGCAGGAGCAGGTATTCAACAGTCAAAGCTCCCCGGGATCCAGGATTCCACGGCTCCTCCCTGTACCCTCTCCACTGCAACAAGGCATGGAGCCAATATTCAACCCAGATGGCCAGAACTCCAGCCCAGCTTCCCAGAAGCTGAGGTTGCAGCAGAGCCCTGGCAGGCACCCTGGAAAACCGGCAATGTCCCAGCCCAGGGCAGGCCCAGCAGAGTGGGTGCTGGGAAATGTACGTGACAGTGGACATGGCCAGAGCAGCCAGCATTTGTCTTAAATATAACTCCTCTGTTTGTTTAGCAGCTTTGGCTTTTCAAAATCCTTTCGTGGGGACTGCCACTATCTCTCTGGGTCCCAGTGGGCACCTAGTGAACAAGATAAGACAGGTATTACCTTGCTAGAAGAATAAAGAAACTGAAGCCCAGGGGAATCTCCTGATCTAGCTGGGAGGCCTGGAGTGGGCCAAGAGTTGACAGGTACCTAAGTGAGCTCACCTGCGTCCATTTGTTCTTGGTTACCCTATGACCACCTGACCTAGGACTCAAGCGTCTGGTCACATGACCCAGGGTCCCTTTTTGGTGATGCTCTGCTCCAGCCTGCCGGGCCAGCACAGAATGCCTCTCCACTGGTCCCTCAGAAGCCCCTGCAAAATCTGCCTATGACTCCCACAGACTCTGAAGGGAATTTTCCCAGAATGTCTACCTGCTAGAACAAACAACCTCCCTCCACATCTCCCCACTCAGCCTAACTCCAGACCTCGCCCCCCTGCTTGCCCCTGTGCCAAGAACTTTGGCCCAGATCAGGAACAGGTCTACCTTACTACCCCTATAAGAACAATAATGGCAAACAAGTAACTTCCCCAAAGTGCCTCTGAGATAATGCAAGAGCCAACACTTAAGCCCCGGTCATCTAACACCAATTTCTGTGTTTTTTCTACCAACCACAGTCACCACCCATTATATGCTGGGCATTTTCCCTTGTACCTGCCTCTGCCAATCGGGCCAGCTGTCAGGAAATAACTCCAAATCCAAGACACCCAAAGATCTCTTTCATTCTTTTGAATTACAGTTTCTTGCCCCCAGTTAAAAGCCAGAGATTCCTGAGAAAAGACACAGTGTAAAATGGTGTGTGGGGTTCACCTCTCTTGACGCTAAGCTGCCAGATAGCAGGGCCCGCACCTCATACCCAGCGCCCTGCCAGCAGGCCCTTTAAAAGACTTCCTTGACCATGGTGGTGTTTATGGTGGGCCAGCTGCAGGGACAAGATCTCAGGGCTTGATTTTAAACGGCAGCGGCATCTAATTCAGTATGTTTTTCCACTCTGCCTGAGGCAACTGTGAGACAGAAAGGGCCACTGTGATGAACAGGGTTATGAGTCAGGAAGGAAGAGGAATGTTCTGGAACATTCGACTGTCAGTCATGGCAGTCTGGCCCAGGGGCCTCTGAAGACCCTCACACATCCTCTCATTGTTCAGTAAAACATGTGGCACTGTGTTTCCCAGCAGGGTTGAAAAGGGGGAGAAGGGACAGTTCACGGGTCCCTATTTTCCGTGATCCACAAGCTGGTCCTTTCTAACCTTGTGACGTCTACCACCTGGGACTGGACATTGAGAGCAGCCACCCCAACCTCCCTCCAGCACCCCAAAGAAAGGGGTTCCTGACCTAGCCACTGTCTGGAAGTTGACCAACCTGTGCTCCCCTCTGACAGCAGCCCAGACGCCGGCCCCTCTCAGGCGACTACCTTCTCTGAATTGCCGGTGATGTCCGCTATCCCTCCTCCTGTCTCCGAATCGCCCAGCGACTCTTCTGACTCTGGTGTGATGCTTCCTACATCCTACATGAGAAGCCAGGCCAGTCAGACAAAATGGAACTATGAGGGAAATTTGGGTAAGGGAAGTTGTGCCCTGCCGGCCATTGCCTGGTTGGACTCTCTGTGGGCTGGGGGAGGAACGGCCTTGCAGCATTTCGTGCACGTGAAATATTGTGACTTGAGTGTTGTCTCTCACGCTAATGATATTCTACGGTTTTTGTTGCCATCTGAAATCATATTTTGGGTAAGACATTCATTCCTCTAAGAGTCTTGCTAACCCTCTTCTCCCATCCCAGGCCTCCCTCAGAGAAAGAGGGTCCACAAAGTGCTGAAGCAAATGGTTTCTTCAGTTTTCCGTTCCTGTTCTTGTTCTACATGAGTACAGGCACTATTTCCCTCAGGGACACAGACCATTTTCTTCCCAGATTACAGACTGGTTCCCTGGGGTGACAGGCCATAACCAGACAGTCAAGTGGAGAAGGGATTGGGGACTCTCAGTGAGTGGTCAAAGCCAGCCCTGACTCAGAGCCAGCCAAATCCAGCCCTGTAGTAAACTTTCATGGCTACAACTGGGAGACACACAGGAGAGAGTTCGACAAGATTGCATTAAGGGTCTTAATTCTCTACCCAATTAGGCCCTCAAATCCTCACTCCAGGGTCCTGGGGCTGGAAGACTGAACAGCATTGCTCACCATTATTAGTCATTTCAATCCAGCCTTAGTGGGATCGATCCATCACTGATTCGCAGATTTATTTCACATCTGTAGTCATGGCAGCAGTAAATTAGATTCCCCTGTACCTCACCTCCCTGCCCCATCCGTGCCTGCTACGTTTTGTAGCTCAAATATGGTTAAAAGAAGTTAGAAGCCAGAAACCCTATAAAGGAGGATGGACAGGCCCACCCCACCAGTGTGTGATGAGAGTGTCACCTGCTGCATTGGTTCACTGGAGATTTTTGCCAGCATGCGTGCTTTCAGGAAGCCTCGAGAACTGGAACCATTTCGAAATCAGTAAGCGTGACCGCTGGGAAAAATCCTAGCATTTATCTACATATTCATAAGCAGGATTCTGAAAGTCATTTACTGGGTAATCGCCGGTGAAGTGCCAATGCCAAGCTTGAAAGGACATGGAGAGGAGAAGGGGTAGAGAAACAGGCTGGAGCGTGGAAGCCTGTTTACACCACTGTGGACCCACACCAGAGAGAGTCCTCAAGGAAATCATTGTCTCATTTGCCCTATCATCCACCACCCTTAGGAATCTAAGCTTAATCAGTAGAGCTAGTCATGCCTGTATTTAATTTAGGTTGTAAGCACCACGCATGGGCATATTTTGCAACTGTGTGTCTGTCTCTTCCATACTGAGTTCCTTAAAGCCAATATATGTTGGGTATTCAGTAAAAGTCTGGGATGGTAAATTTATATTTACGTTTACCTACAGTAAATGTCCACTGATTGAATATTGTGACATTGGTGACCTGCGCTAAAGGTAGGCACTGCGTTGGAGCCTCTGAGCCAGGCTCAAATGACACCCCCACTTCTTGCAATGACTTGTAGGGGGAGGTGATCATTAGAGCAGACGTTGAAACACAAGGAAAAACAAGCAATTCCCCAAAATTCATGGAGGTTTTTCTTCCCCAATCTGCCTATAGTTTCCAGTCTATCTCTCTGGAGAGCATGGGTGGTAACAGGTATGTTATTGTGTGTGGTGGGTGAAAAGAGCAAGTATGACAAAGAATGGGTATACTTAGCAGCTCCCTGACCCTGGGTCACCACCCAATCTCAGGACTATATTTATGGGCTAGAAAGCCAAGTCAACTATCCCAAGAAAGCTATGGGAAGGAATATCCCATCTCCAACAGTAGGTTTCTAGCATCAGAGCAGCCGGATTCCATAACCCAGGCTAAGAGAAGGAGAACACAGCTGGCAAGCCTGTCACACTTTCCGTCAAGCTGTCCTGCATACTGATCTTGAAAAGGTTCCAGTTTTCAGATGCTGACAAAAGTCCCAATGGAACTAAGGGGCACTGAGGAAGGACATCCACCTTCCCAGAGCTGGCATCAACCCAGGCTGGCCAGACACTTGAGGAAGAGGCACAGGAGCGTGAAACTTCTCCACGAGGGCGCTGAGGGGAAACTAGGAAGCACGGAGCTCCAGGAAGGTGGAAGAGCTGAAAACCCAGCCAAGAAGAGGACCATAGGGACAATAACTTGGGTAGAAAGGAGAAAGCCAGGCTTCCCACAGTTGGAGCACAGATGATTAAGGATTTCCACACATGGCAGGAGCATAAAAGGATCTGCTTTCAGCCCAAGGCAGGAACCGCCCAGGCACTTTTTGGAGAAACACAGGGGACCACAGCAAAGACAATTCAAGGGGATAGAATCATAGGGGTGCAAGGCGGAAGCCAGCAGGAGCAGAGAGGAGACCAGACATGGGCACTGCCACACCAGGAAGCCCAGAACTGGGTGTCCCTGCAGCTGCGTGCTTGTGAAGATGTGGCTTTCCAGCCCTTATCAGAATCCCTGCCTGAAATGGCCTGAAATCTACATTCTTACAAGATCCCAAGAGAATTCTTGGCACATGAACAATGGAGAAGCAGAGAACCTCTGGTGTGGGATGAATTTCATGGGTGCCAGACTCCTGTTTCTAAGACATGTTTTTGTTATGGGATTGTTCAATCCCAGTAAGTCAGAAACGGTGTTTCACATGGAACAGCCCTTTTTGACAAATAGGACTTTGACCAAATATGGAGGAAAAACACCCAGATAAATCCTTGAGAACTATTCCTCCGGAGTGTGGCAGGTTTGATCTGGAAGGACTGCTAAAGACACAGGAAATACCTCATGATCCATGTGAGAGAGCATTCAGGGGGCCAGAAACACTATTTATGGCTTCATGTGTCCATCTATCCAGGCCCAGAGCAGGGTCATAAACCATAGACTAGAAATTCCGATATGGAGCATTATGTCCATGCTTGCAGAAATCCTCAAGACTTAGTGCCTAGCACATAGCAAGCACCCATAAATATTTGTTAAATACTTGTGAAGTTGTTGAGCCCTTATCTGATTCAAGATCAGATCACGTGATAAAAAGGCACATCCAGGCCAGGTGCCATTGCTCACGTCTGTAATCATAGCACTTTGGGAGGTGGAGACGAGAGAATTGCCTGAGCCCAGGGGTTCAAGACCAGCCCGGCCAACTTGGCGAGACTTCATCTCTACAATAATTTTTTTGTAAAAAACCAGCCAGGTGTAGTGGCACGTGCCTGTAGTCCCAGCTTCTTAGGAGGCTGAGACGGAAGGATCGCCTGAACCCAGCTGGCTGAGGCTGTGGTAGCTGTGGTCATGCCACTGCACTCTAGCCTTAGTGACAGAGTGAGACTTAACTAAAAAAAAAAAAAAAAAAAAAAAGAGGAGGGTGTCTCTTCAAAAAAAAAAAAGTAGTCTTGGTAGGAAGGAGGCTATAGATAGAAATATGTATACATAGAGATATTGTATGTATAGAAATGTGGAATGTGGGTGAGGATAAACAGAGAGAGGAAGGATACTTTAAACCACCTGGTCAGATGGAGAAGAGGGCTGGAAAAATTCCCAGGAGTGCTAACTAGTCTGTTCACAGATTTTCCTTCCATGGACTCAGATTCTGAAAGAGCACATTCAGAGGTCAAAAAGATGAGGACATTTCCAACAATGCACGCAGGAAAATGACTATGAACTTAAAGTTCTCTGAATGGTGTCAGTAGGTGGGACGCGGTGGCTCACACCCGTAATCTTAGCACTTTGGGAAGCCAAAGTGAGATCACTTGGGCCCAGGAGTTCAAGACTAGCCTAGGCAATATAGCAAGACCTCGTCTCTACAAAACATTAAATAAAAAAAAAAAAAATTAGCCAGGCATGGTGGTGGTGCCTGTAGTCCTGCTACTCAGGAGGCTGAGGCAGAAGGATCACCTGAGCCCAGGACGTTGAGGCTGCTGTGAGCTGTAAAGGTGTCACTGCACTCCAGCCTGAGCAAAAGAGTAAGATTCCAACTCAAAAGAGAGAGAGAGAGAGAGAGAGAGAGAATGATATCAGGAAAGCTGAATCCCAAGATAAACATTCTTACCAAAAAGTAATAATAATGATAATGATGGTACAGGCTGCAACAAAAGGCAGAGGGCTTTTAAAAATATTATTGGGGCAAAATGATCAAGACAGACAAACTACTGCTACTGCTTTTTAGTGCAGTGTTGGTGAGTGATTCAGGGGAAGTTTTTCAATTGCCATTTAATTTTGACTTCACTGTGAAGGAAAATTATTCTCAGATTGAAAAGAGTGTACCAAAAATAGGTAAGAAATAGCAGAAACCAAAGATTGGTGAAAAAAAATCAGAAGAGAAAGCTGACTGCTGTCTCCTGACCTAGATAAAATATACCCCAGAATATCTAGAGGAATAGAGTAGCTTAATCACATTTCTGTGGGCCATGGGGGAGGGTGTGGAAATTATGTTGCTGGTTCTTGAAGCATGGTAGGGAGTTGGGAAAGTGAGTCTGTGACCAATCTGGGGCAAATATTGAGAGCAAAATGACCACGAGAAATCAGCCTCAGATCAATAAAAGTAAATCATGTAATACTAGCTTTTAGGTCACTTTCTGAAAAGGTTATTAGATCAGGGAACTGTGGAAACCTCACAGGGCCAAATTCCACCAGGCATTTTATTTCCAAAGGCCTCCTGATGTTCCTGGACAAGATGGAGGAATACTAGGTGGGCGCTAACGTAAGATGTTGTAATCAGTAATCATAACTGATTGAACACCTTCCCAAGATGCTGTTTAATGGATCAGAGTCAACCTGGTTTCCAGTGGAGAGTCACAAGGCTCTGTTTAGTTTCTGTTTTTGTTTTTGTTTTTTGGTAGACTGGGATGCAGATGTAGAAGAAATATTTATATTTGTGGATGCTTAGGATAATGTAATCAGATACTAAAAGATGTTGACAAGCAGAAACATGGGATCAGAATTGACTAGATAGAAGATATTGGCAGGCTAGGTGCAGTGGCTCACACCTGTAATCCCAGTACTTTGGGAGGCCAAGGCAGGAGGAGTGCTTGACCCCAGGAGTTCGAGACCAGCCTGGGCAACATAGCTAGAACTCATCTCTACAAAAGGAATCAAAATAATTTGCCGGGTGTGGTGGTGTGTACCTGTAGTCCCAGCTACATGGGAAACTGAGGCAGAAGGATCACTTGAACCCAGAAGGTCAAGGCTATGGTAAACCATGATCATGCCATTACACTCCAGCTCAGGCAGCAGGGTGAGACCCCAACTCAAAAAAAAAAAAAAGGACGACTTTGGCAACTGACATTATTGTTTTGACTCACAAAAACAATAGGATAAAGAAGTAGAGGGCGAGCAAGCCCTGTTTGTTGTTGGGGGTTTCATTCAACCACAAGCTCAACAAGGCTCTAGTACAACTGATATGACTGCCAGAAAAAAGCAACCAAATACAACTAAAAGTTTACTTCAAGGGATTTAGTCCTGCTCTGCACTGGTGGCCCACCCTCGAAGAGCATGTCCAGTTTGGGGATCCCACACTCTCTGAGGGCCAGAAGCAGCTTGGCAGAGCTCCAAGGAAAGGCTGGGGTTAAACAGACCCGGAGACTGTGTCACACAGGGAAGTATTGACACAGATTAGGGGTGTTAAGTCTGGAAGATATGTAACACTGAGAAATGAAAATTGACCTTAAATATTTGACTCTCTGCCACCCAAAACCAAGACCAGCGTATTCCCACCTGGACTGAAAGGCTAATATGACCGCTATGGAATCTTAGGAAAACAGTTTAGGAAAAGGAAATTATTCCTAATAGTCAGAACTATTCCATGGTAGAATGGATTTTCTCAAAACTGGAGAGTCCTTGCCTGAAGTGCTGCTCCATCTCACTTTGAAGAAATAACAGGCACTGACACAGCAAGCGTCCAGGAAACCCAGCACCACAGGCCAGACACAAGTGTGGACACTCCCATAAGCAAATGGATCAGTTTGCTTTTGCTTTTTCATTGTGCCTTCTAGCCCCTGCTATAAAGAATGGAATTGGACGCACAGTGGCTGATGCCTGTAATCCCAGCATTTTGGAAGGCCGAGACAAAAGGATTGCTTGAGCCCAGGAGTTCAAGACCAGCCTAGACAACATAGCAATACCTTGTCTCTACAAAAAAAAAAAATAATAGCCAGATGTGATAATACATACCCATACTCCTTGCTACTTGGTAGGCTGAGGCAGGAGGATTGCTTGAACCCACGAGTTTGAGGAGTGATGAGCTGTGATCCTGCCACTGCACTCTAGCATGGACAACAGAGTGAAATACCAACAACAAAAAACAGAATGGAATGTAGTGTGTGTTTGTGTGTGTGTGTGTGTGTGTGTGTGTGTGTGTGTGTGTGTGTGTGTGTTGTGCACATATGTATTTGGGAGGAAGAAGAAAACAGATGGGGACAGGGGAGGCAAAAAGGAGCCAGGATCATTAAAAAATTCCAGAAGAAAGAAAATAAGGGTAACCAAGAACTTACTAAAGTCTTTAAAAAAAAAAAAAGTCTCCTATTACAAGTCTCAGGGGATCTATACCAGATGCTCCCCCATCTCCCAGTCAGCCCTGATATGCCACCCTCCCTTGGCAACAGAGCACCAGACATGTCCACTCCCTACAGCGACAGGTATACCCCTTTGTGTGTCAACACAGACTCAGAGCCACTTGGCTGTATGGTTCTGAAATAGCTAGTGAAATATATAAAATAATTGCAAGAACTTGCTCAACATAAGTAATTCCATTTTGTTAAAATCCTCCATCTTAGCTGCCTGTCTAACCTAAAAATGACCCCCCAATGGATATGTGTGATTGTTATAACGTTCCCATGACCACAGGCCCACAGCTTTGTTCACCTGAGCCATTCACGCTGACCATTCTTGCTGGCTGTTTGAAACTCCCTAGCTACAAGTTTTGTGTAATTGTATGCTTTGTTAGCTGAAATCAGATTTTGCGCCAAGAGATTGTTCTTTGCAAAATTCCCCCTGCCACATCCGCATATTTTATTCTTATATTTTGTTTCCTTTTGTTTTTAGTTCCTTGTTCCCTCCCCCCTCCCCCCGCGCTATGTAGCCCACTTAAGGTTTTTGCCTTTATAAGCTTCTTGCTAGTTTAGTTCTGTGTCTACTCTTGACCGCACGCTAATAAAGGACTCTTCATTTGAACTTGGCATGCTGGCGTGTCTCCTTCTTGCAACTCGGTCATAACAGTTCTTACAGCAGGAGAAATATCTCTAAGTTCTTCCCCACCCCACCCCAATCATTCCAGCTATCCTGAGAACTCAAACTAGCCTCATAGTGACTAGAGAGGAAGGCCACAGAGGGCCTCCAATTTCTGACTACTGACATATTGCAGTCCCGGAGTAAGTGACCAAAGCCAAAGGAAAGGGGGCGTGCAGAGAGAGTGTCCATATACCCAGCTGTGACCCCCAGTCTCTGTTCTCCCCCATTGTTGATCAGCCTCAGGTGCCAAGAAAGAACCTCACACTCTGAGTATAAACACATTTAAAGTGTCAAGTTAAAAGACTCATGAACCAGGCTTGGTGGCTCAGCCTGTAATCCCACACTTTGGGAGGCTGAGGTGAGTGGATTGCCTGAGCGCCTGGGTTCGAGACCCGCACGGGCAGCTTGGCGTGACCTCATCTCTACAATAAATCCAAAACTAGCCAGGCATGGTAGCGCACGCCTGTAGTTCCAGCTATTTGGAAGGCTGAGGCGAAAGGATCTCCGGAGCCCAGCAGGTTGAGGCTGCAGTGGCCGGGAACGGCCACTGCACTTCAGTCTGGGCGACTGAGTGAGACTTCAACTCAAAAAATAAAAATAAAAATAAAAACACTCATGACCATGCTCTTCTGCCTTTTAACAGCAACATCTTTATCGAAATCAAAAACAGAGCAAGAAACCGCAGCGCTAACCATCACGAAGTCTGATTTGAAAGGTATAATTTATGATGATTGTTAAGACCTGTAGAAATAACTAATCTATCCACAAGAAGGTAAGAAGCACAGAATTAGCATACCCCCAGCCAAGAAGGCCCATTGTTGACTATTTGAGACCAGGGCAGCCTTAATGAAGACCATCAGCCAAGGCATTGTTTCTGAAATTTAGTGTCCAGGCTCAAAGCTCTCAAGACACAGAGCCAAAGAGAACAGTGGGCTCTGGCATTTTGAAAGGAGAGGAAACAATGGTCATCCCTAGAGTTAGGAGGAGAGATCATGACATTATCCATACTTAGCTCATTCAGTGGCATTTGTTGTCCCCGTACTATATACCAGAAAGGATATACAGACAGACAAAACCCATCTCATGCTTCAGAACTTAAACTCTAGTAGGAAAGACAAAATACAAACACAGGGAGGGAATCGATATTTGTTTAGCATATGCTAAGACCTCACACGGCTGGCCATCAAAGAAGCCCCTTTTCCCAAAGCATGTGATCCCCACCCTGAGTCTCCTGGCTATTTGAGAGGTGATTGTTACATTGATTCCATCAGAGATCAGAGGATCTGGACTTGTTCATCATATCACATCCTATTAGTAATTTTTCCTATTCTTTTTCAGCATATGATGCCACTGGAGTGCAGCAAGAGGAAGAAAATGGTAAGAGTTCAATATAATCTACCCAAAGATCCCTGCTTTCTGCAGAGTGTCCTGGGCTGGAGAAGGTGACCTGGGAAAATGGTTCCCTTGCTGATTCAGTATACCTCAAGGTCTAGAGGGGACCTAGGGACAACCTCAAAACCTCCTGAAGAAGGAGGACAAAACAAGAAACAGAGAGGGGCTTTCCAATGAGGCAGGACTAGAAGTCCCTCTTCCTACTCAAAAACTCTACAATAAGGGTTCCCAGGTTTCAAGAGCATCCAGTGGGTAGTTGGGTTCCCTGAGGTCTGGGAAGGAGGGCTTGATTAGGATGTGTGCCCCTCCCAGACAGAATCAAGGTCCTGTGACACCTTGGTAGTGAATAAATGGGAGCTCCTACAAATGGTGCCCTTAAAGGTTTATTAAATGTCTATTAAGGAGTTAGGCTGGGCACAGCAGCTCACATCTGTAATCCTAGTACTTTGGGAGGCAGAAGCAAGAGGATTGCTTGAACCCAGGGGTTCGAGACCAGCCTGGTCAACTTGGCAAGACCTCATCTCTAGAATAAATTTAAAAATTAGCCAGTCATGGTGGTGTGTGCTGCTTGGAAGTTCCAGCTGCTTGGAAGGCAGAAGCAGAGAGATTATCTGACCCAGGAGGTCAAGGCTGTGGTAGCCATGAGCATGCCACTGCACTCCAGCCTGGGCAACAGAGAAGGAGTTGGTTGAATCCTATGAGGAGAAAGAACAGGTGGGGATCTTTAGGGTAGTAAAATTCCAACTTGCAAGCACCACTCCACAAAACAAAAGCCTGCATTCAAGTAGACCCATCCTCATTAGAACACAGTTTAGGAGACTGGGACGGGAGGATCATCCAAGTCCTGGAGGTTGAGGCTGCAGGGAGCCATGATCTGTGATCATACCACTGTACTCCAGCCTGGATGACAGAGTGAGACCCCAACTCAAAGAAAAACATACACACACAATTTGGGGGCTAAGGTCTGATATATTTGAGCTGTGGATGAGGTCAGAGGGATCAGGTCTTGCATACACCCCATTATACCCCTATCCATACCCCATAGCTTATCAAACCAACTGTTGCAAACTCTAGACTATACTTTCTACCCACTCCACCACACTCACAGAAAGGTACTGGTGAATACAATTTTCTCCATCTGATTCCATGTCCATGGGTGTTTTAGAGCTATGCTGCTCAAACTTTTATGGGCCAGGCCATCAGCTGGGGATCTTGTTTAAATACAGATTCTGGTTCCGAGATCTGGTCTTTCTAACACACTCCCAACAGCTAATCCATGGGTCACACTTTGAGCAGCAAAATCTTAGAGCAGTTTAGAGATTTGTGCCCATAGCAGTCGCCAACCTAACCCAGCCCAGACCTTGACCCACCTGCCTAGGATAACAAGAGATTCACTATAGGAAGGGTGTTCACCTGTATTCTTGTTAATCAGTGAAGTTGGGTTGCTCATTTCTCAGAGCTGGCCACTGGGTTAGTCACTTACTGTTTCTCTTCTCCCTTTCCTCATCTATTGTTAAAGAAAATATTATCCACTGATATTTGCTTGTTTGCTTTTTGAGTTGGGGTCTCCCTCTATTGCCCAGGCTGGAGAGCAGTGGCATAATCATGGCTCATCACAGCCTTGACCTCCTGGGCTCAGGCAATTTTCCACCTCAGCCTCCTGAGTAGCTGGGACCATGGGTGCATGCCACCATGCCTGGCTAATTTTTTAATTTTTCTTTTTATTTTTTTTTGGTAGAGATGAGGTCTCACTATGTTGCCTAGGCTAGTGTCCTGGGCTCAAGCAATGCTCTCACCTCGGCCTCCCAAAGTGCTAAGATTACAGGCACATCTGGCAATGACACTTGTTAAGGCAGATTTTTTAGGGCCATCATGATAGGTAGAAAGACCACAACAATGGGGTTTTGTGGTAGAAGAGAGAGATTGAGCTCAACTCCAAGTGGAAATGTATAGCCAAGCAGCAGGGTAGAAGTCAGTGGATGGAAAATTACTAAGAGGAAACTACTAAGGCAGTTCTGCTTGAAGTGACCTAACGGGATTCTTGCTGAAGACTGGCCGGGTGACCAGACACCACCCAGGGGATGGAAGAGGATGAAGAACCTTATCTGATATCAAGGGTGATCAGATAGAGAGGGCTGAGATGCTCGCTAAACTGACTTAGTTGGGTTCTTGCTAAAACTGGATTTTAAGAGAAGTACACAGATGGGCCTAGGAGAAGGTTTAAGAGCCTGACTAAAGTTTACAGTCAAAGAATCTTTGCCACTATGATAGGGGGATGATTGTATTCACCCGCAGGGCAAATACTCATGACTCAAATGTTTATTCCAAATTCAGAAACTGCAGTTCTGTCAAGAAAAAGACGGGAGGCACGCAAATGAAGAAGAATTAAGATTTGCTCTTAATCAGACCTGGGGGAGACACACTCCATTGGGAAAGAGTTGTGCTAGCCCAGACCTGCCTTAGCCCTGGTCCTCTGAGTCACCCTAAAGATGAGTTTTATTGTCCCCATTGCACAGATGAGGGGCTAGGGTCCAAAGGGGCTGAGTGACAACTCAGAAGTGGTCCAGGTCCCAGATGACAGGGCCACTACTCAAACAGGGCCTGACACTCCCCCCCACCCCAACACCCCTGGTCCTCCCCAACTTCCTATGGGATGACTTCTGGAGGAGATAAGGATCTCACTAGAACAAAAGTAAAGGTTGACAAAAGTCCCCCAAAGGAAAAGTTAATTAGAAATAAACCTTTTTCTTCTCACTGGTCCCAGTTATAGCTATACTGCTGCTTATTTACTGTGCTTGGCTTGACATGTTGACAGTGCCATTGATGTTAATAAGCTTAATTATTATATTGACTCGAATGTTCGTGAGCATCACTGTTTAGTATTCAGGGCTGCCAAGTCTACCTTCTTCCCGTGATAAAGACCTACATTTTTCCTCCTCAAATTAACTATATATTATTCAACAAAGCCCATTAAAATATAGAAATCACTAATGATGGGAAATCGCCAAGCTACCAGGACCGCAGCCAGACATTATCTCAGGGAGGCATGTGACAGGTAGCCTGCCTCTCTACTCAGAGCATCTGTTGACCTAAAAATCATAAAATCTATACATTTAGAAAAAGAAAGGAGACTTTATTTCTTATAAGGGATTACTGCCTGCAAGGTAGCCATCTCCCAGTCTAGAAAGAGCAGCCTCTGGCCAAGACTAGAGAGAGACACTTTGCAGGAGGACAGGCTAAGGTAGAAGCTATATGCTGAAGGGATTAGCTGAACATACATACTCAATAGGTTACAGGAGGAATATGAATATTCATGAAGGTGGTCCTGACACATGTGTATTGAACAAACATGCATGTTACATACAACCTATATTCACCTTGGGGAGGTTACTTAACATTTAAATATATTAAATTAGGCCCTGCACATCAAAAGTCCTTTTCAGAACACAAAGGCTCATAAGTGCACAGTCTCTGTAAACCGGCCAGAACCAGTCCATGGTCATGGTCTTATCAGGAGAAAGTTACCGAAATCAGTCTCTTGCCCAATCAAAGCTGTAGTTATGGCTGGTGAATGAGCTGCAAAATGCTTTTTTTTTTTTTTTTTGTTGGAG